TGCAATGGCACCTGGAAGTGGGGGGCATATATTACAATGGCACCTGGAAGTGGGGGAAATATTACAATGGCACCTGGAAGTGGGGGGGATATATGACAATGACACCTAAAGGTGGGGGGGGGGATATATTAGGTAGCAATTCACCATTTTGTCCCTGGAGTTGATGTGTTGGAAGCAGAAAAAATGGACAAGTGAAAAGATTTGAGGGACTCTGACCAGGACCAAATTGTGATGTCTAGACGACTGGGTCAGAGCAACTCCAAAACTGCAGCTCTTGTGAGATGTTCCGGGTCTGCAGTGGTCGGGACCTACCAAAAGTGGTCCATGAAAGGAAAACTGGTGGACTGGCGACAGAGTCATGGGGGGTGGCTTGTGGGGGAAGAAGGCTGGCCTGTGTAGTCTGATCCAATAGAAGAGCTAGCTCAAATGGCTTATTACATACTATACTTAATAACGTTTGGTACCTTGTCCAGCTACCGAAAAGAAGAGGACATATTTTGACAAAGTAACTAGATTTGGTGGTAAGTAAGCTTTCTCAAAAAAAATTTACCCTTAAAAGTAGATGTAAACACTTAGAGGATGGCATAGAGTTTGCTAAAGTACTGAGCATCTTACACAACTATGGTTGATTTTTCAGTTTTTTTACAGTCACTTCCCGGTCTACATGCACTAGCTCTAGTGTCAGCTGAATGTCGGTTGTTAGGGTTAGCTTCCCGTTGAAGGCAAGGGTGGAACATGCTTATGCAATTAATGTGGTCACGCAATGACCATGCAGTAGGTGGGTGACAACTCAGGAGACAAGTTACATAGTTACATAGTTAGTCAGGTTGAAAAAAGACACAAGTCCATCAAGGTCAACCTATAGAATCAAGTTCAACCTATAGATAAAGTTGGGTTATCATCCTATAATACAAAATGACTGAACAAGTAGCTACAAATTAGAATTACCATGTAAAGATTATGAGATTTTCGAGGTTCGGGTTTACATCTGCTTTAAAGCAAGTCAAAAGCTGAGAGGCTGCAGCAGCAGCTGATCTGTGTCAGATATTTGTGGACAAAGCCAGGTGCCAAGATTTACATATTTGTGTTATCTCTGAGTCGGCATTTCAGTCCAGGAAGTAGATGGTGACCCTGGATGATGTTTAAACAAAGATGGCTCCATCCTTCTGGGGTAAAGGAGATGAAAGCACTGTAAGGGATAGAAATTTGATCTCTGGGAGAGGTAGTAAATACCAGAAATAATTGCATCTACAAATAATCAATAAGCTTTATTGAGTTTTAACATGTGCATATCTGATTCCTTCTGAAAGCCCCCAAGACCCTAGATGCCAAACAGTAAACTGGGACGAATGGCTCAGTCCACACTTTGTACTCATTGGGCGTATCATTGCATTGCTCTGAAATTACGTTTCAACACTTTATGTAATTGATCTGTGTTATGGGAGAATATTCAGACCATGGCAGAAACTCTGCATGAAAAACACAGACATTGGATGTTTTGGTTTTTTTTTTTGCAGTTAACATTCATCTTAACAAACCCTTATGTTTCCAACCAGGTCAGACTTGACCCATAGAACTAGACCCATAGAGAGAAGCAGTGAAGCACATTCTTCATGCAGCACTACTGGTTATGAAGCAGATCCGGCATATACACACACACACACACACACACATATACACATAATTACCTATGATACAAAGAAACTGTTTGTTTAAACTGTTAATATTAATTGATAATATTACATTTAATAACAGATGATTACATTCACATGTATGGCTAAAATATAAATGCGTAAACTATGAAGTGTTTATAGCTTCTCTTTAAAACCGTTGACATTAGAGTACATTGCCAAAAAGAAATGACTACATATGATACTGCAGATTCCCTTAAACCCAACTCAGATTCTCTTAAAACTCAACTCATAATGTTTCTTTTTCATACTTATCTTTTGCAGATCTTTTCAAACCTGCCACATAACATGCAGGGTCATCTTCCTTTTAAGAACTCTGCTGGTGGTCAGTGATCCTTAATATTATAGAGAGTGGCAAAGCTCAGCTCCCCACTCACCCTGTAAGCACAGGGCACCATGGGGTCGGGTGGTAGTTCATGGTGCTCTCCACTCACAGTATGTCCTCAGTCTTCTAGGTTACAATTCAGTGCTGCAGCACATATTTGTCAATGGGAATCCGTGGTTCTACTTTGAAGTGAACATGTGCCAAAACTATGGACATTAAAAGGGTTACATTTTCTTAACTAACTGCAAAACAGCTTTAAAACAAGCCATTCCTGACCTCTCTAGCTACATGTGCTGTGAAATAAGTTATCTTCAAAGATCCCTCTAATGTGTTTCTTTACATTAGGGGGCTGGCAGGCTGCCAAAATTCTGCTGCGCTAGAAGCTGTGATTTTTGCGCCTCTGTTGTAAAATTGAAAGATTCATTTTTGCACAACACCTATGGCTACAGAGGTGAGGCTTGTCTTAAACTGCTTTTACTGCTTGTTAAGAATATATAAAAAGTTGAATGTGCATAGTTTTGGCACAGGTTGACTGCAAGGACTCATTCACACAGCGTAGAATCAGGCCTTACAGATCCGTGCGGCGTGCGAATCAGGCCTTACAGATCCGTGCGGCGTGCATGGCCATATCGGGCCATTCCCTATGGGAGGACGCAGCCGTGTGCTGTCATACGCACAACCGAACTGCACATCCATGCAGGTCCGGGTGTCCATGCTTGGACACAGACAGGATCCATCCTGTCTGCGTCTGAGTATGGTCACCCGCACGGATGTGCAGCTCGGGTGTGCGTACGGCCGCATCCTCCCATAGGTAAGAACTGGCCGCTGCACGTAATGACACGCAGCACCTGTCCCTCCCAGGAACGACCCGATTCTACGCTATGTGAATGAGGCCTTAGGACAATTTATAAGATCTGGACACTTAGGGGAGCTGTAGGATTTGCATTCAATTTTGGAGTTTACATCTTACAGACCTAGAAGAAAAAACTATATATATA